CCTCCTCCCATGACCACATCAAAATTACAACCAAATTATAGAACAACCACCCTTGAAAACCACCTGAAGACTAGCTGAATAGAACTCCTATAACTAGGGATATACAATGGAAGCCACATTGAGACTAGTAGGAGGGATGGAAACATGAAACGGGCTAGTTCCACATTTACATGTGGTGGCTAAGAATCAGAAAGGAGTATCTCAGCTGTGGAGGTCCCCCTTGAGGAACAAGGTGTCCCAGCCCCACACCAGTGCCAGGAAGATGAGTCCCCACAACATATGGGTGTGAAAATCAGTGGGGACTCCACCCAGGTGAGACAAAGCTTCTGTAGACCCAGACATCCTCTTAAAGGGCCCACACACAGACTCACTGTCCCACAAACACTCACCCTAAGCTCCAGAGAAGGGACAGCAACTTGAAAAGCACCAGGGTCATATGGGAGGAACTGAATTGTCTGGCTTAGTGGGAGGGCTGCAGGGGCAGCTCCCTCCCGGACTAAAGTGCTGGCAGGCACCATTGTTCCTTTGTTGAGCCTTCCTCACACACAGCCTGTAAGAGCAGGGTGTGTGTGTGTGTGTGTGTGTGTGTGTGTGTGTGTGTGTGTGTGTGTGTGGCGTGCGTGCGCACGCGCCAAATCTGAGTCTCCGTCAACCTGGCTAACACTGCCCTTGCCCCACCCTGGTGATTCTCTGATGCCTCACCTCACCCAATTCACATGCCCTGCCTGAACTTCTTTCAGTCTAATCCACACAAGTGGCCAGTCAGGACCTGTGCTGCAGACTTTTCTATAATCTCTGAAAGGTCCACAAACCCCAAACAACCAGCAGCTGACCTTGGTGTTTCCTGTACCACTTGCTAAGTGGCCCCAAACCCAAAACTAATGGCAGCTGGCGTTGGTTCAGACCACACCGTAACACCACCCAATTAGCTCCACAAACTACACATCCAAAAGTTGGGCTCGGCAGGAACCAGAGCCCCACCAAAGTGAATCCACTCAGTGGAGCCAACCCCGGCCCAACAGATCATCTGTTGTAATCATAACCAGTCAGTCTGGGGTCAATCCTACCCACTGACATGCCAATAACAATCAAGGCTCAACTACAATATGAGGGCACACACAACCCACACAAAGAATACCCATGGAGAACCCGGCTCAGGTGACCAGGGGTACTGCACTCCTGGGCCCCACAAGATGCCTACTATATAAGGCCACTCTGCCAAGACTGGGAGACATAGCAGATCTACCTAATACATAGAAACAAACACAAGGAAGCAGCCAAAATGGGGAGACAAAGAAACATGTCCCAAATGAAAGAACAGGACAACACTCTAGAAGAAAAACTAAATGAAATGGAGACAAACAAACTACTAGATAGAGAGTTCAAAACACTGGTTATAAGGACACTCAATTAACTTATGAGAAGAATAGATTAACTCAGTGAGAACTTCAACAAAGAGATAGGAAACATAAAAAAGAACCAGTCAGGAACGAAGAATACAATAATTGAAATGAAGAATACATTCTATGGAATCAACAGCAGATTAGATGAAGCAGAGAACTGAATCAGCAATGTGAAAGACAAGGTAGTGGAAAACACCCAATAGAAACAGCAAAAATAATTTTAAAAAATATTTTTATTGGAGAATTGGGGAGGAAAACAGTATTGGGGAATTGGGGAAGGGGAACAGCGTGTTTTTCCAGGACCCATCAGCTCCAAGTCAAGTTGTCGTCCTTCAATCTTAGATGTGGAGGGCACAAGCTCAGTTCTAAGTACACTCACCACTTTCAATCTAGTTGTGTGTGTGTGTGTTTGTGTGTGGGGGGGTGCATAGTCCACCATCCCGTGCGGGAGTTGAACTGGCAACCTTGTTGCACACTGAGCTATCCGGCCGTGGCCCGTGGCTGCTCAGCTCAAGGTGCTGTGTTCAATCTTAGTTGGGGCGGGGGAGCCCACCATCCCATATGGGTGTCAAACTGGCAAACTTGTTGCTAAGAGCACACTCTCTCACCAGCTTAGCGGCAGCTCAGCTCGGGTGCAGCTCACTGGCTCATGTGGGAATCGAACCGGCGACCCTGTTGCTCAGAGCTCGCGCTCTTAACAAACTGAGCCATTCAGCCGACCCCGGCAAAATTAATTTTTAAAAATTAAGATAGTTTAAAGGAACTCTGAGATAACATCAAACATAACAACATTTGCATCATAGGGGAACTATTGTAGAAGAGAGAGAGCAAGGAATTGAAAACCGATTTGAAGGAACAATGCCTAAAAATTTCCCTAACCTGGTGAAGGAAATAGACATACAAGTCCAGGAAGTGCAGAGAGTCCCCAAAATGATGAATCCAAAGAGGCCTACACCAAGACAAATCATAATTAAAATGCCAAAGCTTAAAGACAAAGAGAGAATTTTAAAAGCAGCACGAGGAAAACAGTTAGTCACCTACAGGGGAACTCCCATAAGACTGTCAGCTGATTTCTCAACAGAAACTTTACAGGCCAGATGGGATTGGCACGAAATATTCAAAGTGATGAAAAACAAGGATATACAACCAAGACTACTCTACCCAGAAAATGTATCATTTAAAATCGAAGGAGAGGAGATGGCCGAGTGGCTCATTGGTTAAGAGTTGACTTTGAAGCGCGAGCTCTGAGCAGCAGGGCCCCGGTTCGCATCCCACATGGGCCAGTGATGCTGCACCCTCTACAGCTAAGATGTACAGCTCGACCTGGAGCTGGGCTGCCATGAGTCACCTGCGACGGTGTAAGCTGCAGTGGGGCTGCAGTGGGGCTGCCATGGGCTGCTGTAAGCTACCATGAGTGGCCGGCAGCTGGTGTGAGCCGCCGTGAGCAGCCGTCCGATGGCCAGCGACCGACTGCCTCACCCGGGAAGAGCGCAATGATAATACCAACATGGGCCAGTGAAGTGACGTCCTCCACAACTAGACTGGAGAACAAAAGGACAGCAACTTGTCTGTTCCCCTTCCCCGATTCCCCAACACTGTTCCCCTCCTCCAATACCCCAATAAAGTCTTAAAAAAAATCAAAGGAGAGATAAAGAGCTTCCCAGACAAGAAAAAGCTAAAGGAGTTCATCACTACCAAACCAGTATTTCAAGGAATCTTAGAGGGACTTCTTTAAGATGGAAAAAAAAAAGATAAAAAGATGATTAATAAAACGACAATAACTACATATTTATCAACAATTACTTTAAATGTAAATGGATTAAATGCTCCAATCAAAAGATAGGGGAGCTAAATGGATAAGAAAACAAGACCCTTACATATGCTGCTTAGAAGAAACTCACTTCAGATGGAAAGACACACACAGACTGAAAGTAAAGGGATGGAAAAAAAATTTCATGAAAATGGAAACAAACAAACAAAAAAGCTGGGGCAGCAATACTTATACCAGATAAAATAAACTTTAAAACAAAGGCTATAGCAAGAGACAAAGGAGGACCCAGTAATCCCAATTGTGGGAATTTTTTTGAAGAAACACAAAATGCTACTTTGAGGGGATCTGTGCATCCATATGTTTGTTGCAGCATTGTTTATAATGACCAAGATGTGGAGGCAGCCTGGATGCCCATCGATGGATGAATGGATAAAGAGGAGATGGTACATATATATACAGTGGTATATTGCTTGGCCATGGAAGGGAATGAACTCTTGCCATCTGTGGTGGCATGGATGGACCTGGAGGGTATTGTGCTGAGTGGAGAATGTCAGACAGAGAAAGGCAGATGCAATGTGACTTCACTTATATATAGAATCTAAAGAACAAAACAAACAAACAAACACAAACAGAAACAAACTCATAGATACAAAGAACATTTTGATGGTGGCCAGATGGGAGGGGTGTTGGGGGCATGGGTGAAAAAAGGGAAGGGGTTAAGAAGTGCAAATTAGTAGTTACAAATAGTCATGGGGGGTGTAAAGTAAAGCGTAGGGAATATGGTCAATGATATGGCAGTAACTATGTATGGTGCCAGGTGGGTACTTGTCAGGGGAATCACTTCTTAAATTACTTAAATGTCTAACCATATGGTGTACACCTGAAATTAATATAATTTTGAATGTCAACTATAATTTAAAAATTTTTTAAAGGAGGAAAAAGGTGAAGGGGAATAACAGGTAAAAAATTTCCACATATAAAACAAGTCATGGGGATGTAATGTACAGCATAGGGAATATAGTGAATAATATTGTGATAGCGTGGTACGGTATCAGATGGTTGCTGGACTTATGGTGATCACGTCTTTAGGTATACAAATGTTGAATAACTATAATGTAAACCTGAAACTAATGTAATATTGTATGTTAGTTATATTTTAATAAAAACCTTAAAAAAGATTCTCACCCTTTCTTCTCTCTCTTTTCCCCTCCTGTGAAAAGTAACAGCCCCTCCTAAGGGGTACAGTGGGCCCAGGCTTGCTAAGTCAGGATGGACTTCTTATTCTCCACTCTGTTTTTCCTTAAAACATCTTCCAATACTAGAAGGTTAATTTGGAAGGGCTGGAAGAAACGAGGGGCCTATCATTGGACTTGGGGCCCATTTCCATCACACCACTGCTTCCAGCACCTTGGGTTCAAATCCTTCCACCAGCTAAGTGGTGATTATTTGACATTCTGTATGTTTCCAGGCCCTTCTCCCAGCCCTGCCCAGTGCCTCCTCCGTGGCAAAAGCGAAGGTACGAACGGAGAGATCGGCACTACTCGTTGCTCCAGAAGGGAGGAGGGGCTGGGCTGTTTCAGGCTTCGTGGACACCGGGTGGCTACTGAGCTGTGTACATGGACCCAGGCCCGACTGTGTGAGTCCAGCCTGCGGAATGTGACAGGCTGAGCGCGCAGGCGCAGTGGGTGCCGGAGTGGGGGACTGGGGCAGTGGTCGCGCGTCGCCGGCTATTGCGCAGGCGCGGTGGCGCGGTAGCGCGGTGGGGGGAGGGGAAGCCGTCGCACGTGGCCGGTTGGTGCGCAGGCGCGGTGGGCGTGGTGGGCCTCTTGCGTGGCGGCGGCATGAAGCGCTTACGCTGGCAGGTGGTGGCCGTGGCGTCAGTGGGCCTCGCGCTGGCCCTGGAGGTGCTACCTTCTGCGCTTCTCTGGTTGCGGGCCTGGCGGCGGCGGCGGCAACAACAACCACAGCGCGAGGTGCTCTTCTTCCCGTCGCAGGTGACCTGCACCGAGGCCCTGCTGCAGGCCCCGGACGCGGGGCCGTCAACGTCCCTCGCGGGCTGCGGGTGCAGCCTGCCCCACATCGAGAGCTCGTTGAGCCGCCTGCTGCGCGCCCTACTGGCCGCCCGAGCCAGCCTCGAGCTCTGCCTCTTTGCCTTCTCCAGCCCGCAGCTGGGCCGGGCAGTGCAGCTGCTGCATCAGCGTGGGGTGCGCGTCCGGGTCATCACCGACTGTGACTACATGGCCCTCAATGGCTCGCAGATTGGCCTGCTCCGCAAGGCAGGTAAGCCGGGATTCCCAGGCCCAGGGCGCGGGTCCGAGCCCACTGCACAGGGCCTCAGGCCCCAGGCCGGGAGGATGAGCTGACCTCCGGGACCGTAGGCAGAAGGGAGGACGTCAGACGCAGATACTTGGGAGTAGGGGTCTGAGTACAGGCCCCATACCATGGTGGCCTTGTGAGGTCAGGACAGTTTTACCCCGGAGCAACTCCAGGGCTATCCATAAAGGATCCCGGTTCTCGCGCGGCGGGTGAGGTTCTGTGCAGAGGGGTTTCATGCTGGTTATCTGAGTGTGAGCCGGCTGTGCGTCCCCATGTAGTGGAGAAAGGTGTGGGGACTCCCAGAGGCCGGGGGGTGGGGGCCTGCCTACAGACACCTGGCAAGCGGACAGAGCCCCTGTGACTCCCCGCATTGGAGTTGGGACCCCGTAGAGCTACGGGGGTGTAGCCGGCTCGCTGAGTTTTTGACAGTTGGAGCCTACAGTGAGGATGGCAGAGCCCGACAGCACTCAGGAAATGAGGGGGAAGCTAAGAACAAATGTTAAGGTCCACCGGCCTGTACGCTGTCAGAGACTGTGCTCATGAGCGAAAGGGCATTTTACTTTAAATGCACTAGCGAGTTTCATGCTGGGGCTTCTGAAATGAAATAATATTCTAAAAAGTGGAGCTAAAATGTTTAGTTGGTGAGCAGGTCATTTGTTTCTCCGGCTGCAAAATGCTTGGGAAACAGATACCTCTGGCCAGCCTGCCTCTCTTGCTGGGGTGAGGGACAGATGAACGGGAAGTATGAATCATTTTGTTCTAAGTTCAGATCCTGTGAATTCCTTGTTTCATCCTTCCACCTCAGTGTAATGGTGTGTCCCGCAAGCAAGCCCTTTTCCTTGTGTTTTGTCTTATTGGCTGCACAGAGTCTGAACTTCGTGTTTTGATCACTCAGGCACGTAGGAAAGTCATTCCTGCGTGAACATCTGTTCCGCCTGTAAATTCTAGTAGCCCCAGTGACCGAAAGACGTGAGGAGGCCTGAGAGCTGTGCCGGCTGCGCAGTGGTCCATTGTGCTCTGAGTTACACAAGCACAAGCATGGCCTCTTGCTGACCTGGGAGGCGGAGAAGCCTTTCCGGGAGTCAGGCTCAGCTTCCCGTCTCCGCTTGGGGCGCTCCAGATGGCAAAGCACTGTAATCTTTTGGTGCTTGTTGCATCCCATGTGGGCACAGTCGCAAACTTAGTTCAAATAGTGAGGTTGTTTATGTCCCCTCTTCTTGGCAGCCATGAGCTGCCCTAAATCAGTTGGTCCTTGTAAGGGGGAAACTTGGATACCTTTAAGTACAGGCCATTTTACTTAGTTAGCTTTTAGAGCAGCGGTTCTCAACCTGTGGGTCGTGACCCCTTTGGGGTCGAACGACCCTTTCACAGGGGTCGCCTAAGACCATCAGAAAACAAAAAGATATTTACATTACAATTCATAACAGTAGCAAAATTACAGTTATAGAGTAGCAACGAAAATAATTTTATGGTTGGGGGTCACCACAACATGAACTAACTGTATTAAGGGGTCGCGGCATTAGGAAGGTTGAGAACCGCTGTTTTAGAGAATGGTAAAATCTCAGGTTTGGAAAGAACCTTAAAGGGCACTGCAGCCAGACTCCATCTAAGGCTGATTTCCCTCTGATGGCATCCTAGCCATCATTCATCATTCATCTGTCATCTGTCCAACAAAAACATTTGTGTGCTAGTATTTGCCTGGCGCAGATCCGGGCACCAGGGACCCGGTGGTGAACAAGACCAAGAGCCAGTGGGAATCTGACTGAAGCATGAATATTTAAGGTAGTGAGAAGGGTCTAGAATGTCATAAAGCAGGATAAGGAGATATGACATGCCAGCAGAGCTTAGTGATGCAGGGGATATTTGAAGGAGAGAGCCTTATAGCTTGAGGAATATCAAGTACAAATGCTAACTTCATAGCAAGAAATCCCCTGAAGCCAAAGGTGGAAGTAGTAATGAGGAGAGGCAGGAAGGTACACAGGTGTATAAGGCACACAGGCGTGGAGGGCACACAGGCACAAAGGGCTGGCTTCATGCAGGGGGCATTGGGACCCCATTCTGTGAGACAAGGAGCCCTTAGAGCAGCGGTTCTCAACCTTCCTAATGCCGCGACCCCTTAATACAGTTCCTCATGTTGTGGTGACCCCCAACCATAAAATTATTTTCGTTGCTACTCTATAACTGTAATTTTGCTACTGTTAATGAATCGTAATGTAAATATCTTTTTGTTTTCTGATGGTCTTAAACGACCCCTGTGAAAGGGTCGTTCAACCCCCAAAGGGGTCGCGACCCACAGGTTGAGAACCGCTGCCTTAGAGGATGCTCAGCAGGGCAGAAGGGACAGAAGGTCTCACAGAGGTTGTCCAGGCTGTTCTGAGGAGAGTGGGCTTTGGGCAGGAGGGGGTGATGTGGACTCAGAACGGGAGCCGGGAGGTGGATGGGAGAGCTTTGTGGTAGCATTGGAAGCATCAGAAATGGTTGAATTTAAGATCTGTTTTGAAGGTGGAACTGACAGAATCTGCTGGTGGGTTGGCCATAGAGTGTGAGAAGTGGTGGTGGCGTCCCCTGGGGCAAGGAGGGCACTACTTTCAAGGCAGTGTTGCTGGGCCAAACACAGGTGCCCAGGTAAGCCTGAGCTTCAGATAAGCAATGAATAATTTTTAGTGTATGCCCCAGTATTGCATGGGACATACTTACCTTCAAAAATTATTTGTTGTTTATCTGAAATCCCAACTTATTTTGGACATGCTGTATTTTTATTTGCTAAGTCTGCAACCCTATTGCAAAGCAGCCTCTTTTAAACTGTTTTAAATCACGTTTCTAATGGTCTCATTCACTGAGCGATATTAGGCTGGCATTATTCCAGGCTTGAGGCAGAGTGGACAGGCCAGGACAGACAGGGCCCTGCCCCAGGGGAGTTTGAAAACAGTGGGAATGAGAGAGGCAAACTGAAATGAAAGGCAGCTGTTACAGGCTCTTTGGTGAAGGAAACGGGTGATATGAAGGGGAATAATTTGTTTCTATCAGTTGGGGTGCTTTCTGCCTCAGCAGTCAGAAGGGCTGGATGCAAGCTGGGGTCTCCCGGGGCCAGAGCCGGCTGGCTTCCCGCGGTCCTTAATTCCCTCCCTGCCCCTCGCCAGGCTGGGTTCCTCCTGCGCTCTTTCCTCCTCAGGCTCGGCTCTTCTCCTTACAGAGTGGGGTGCAGTTCCTGGCCTGGGGGTGTTTAATGGGGTGTCTAGTGCTGGGCAAAAGTGAGAACTCAGAGACAAGGAATCCTGAGCACATGATGGTTGGTCTGGTAGCCCCTGGCAGGATGAATGAACCATCCTGAAGGTTATGCGGGTTGGTGTGGACCCCAGGCGTGAGTGGGTGTGGGGTGGGCTGTTCCCAGAGGAAATGGAGTCATGTTAAGAGAGCAGTATCTGTGTG